TTACGGACGATTTTCTAAACAAAGAAGAAGATGAATTGTGAACCCAAGAAGAAGGTTGAAAATTTGGGGAAAAATTAACAATCTGTGTTAATTTAAATGAATCGGTAGAGGTTAAGGGTTAATTCAAAGAGCTTTCCTTTAACGGCTATATCATTTTGAAAAGTTACCGTTGTATTAACAATGACGGTGAAACATTATTAGGCCTTTAATGGGCTTATATATTTAACGTCTTTTAAACTCTAGATGCTTTTCTTTGTAATCAAGTAAAATACAATAGAAGTCAGACTATTTTTTTTTTTTTTTTAAAGTCTGGATTACCAAGATATTGTTAACTGAATAGAAGAGAATCTTTATAATATGTAAATGTAAAAAATTAGAACTATCAAACAGATTAAATCGTAAGAAAAATAAAATAATACAATCAAATTCAATAAAGAAAGACTAGTGTATCTAAAGATGGGAACAAAATAGTTGGAACTTGTGATTTGAACAAAAAAATGTCCCCAAAATATTGGATGCGTAATGCGTTGACTTAACCATATGTTTTCTACGTAATTTAATCCTAATTTATAAGGCAAGTTATTAAGAATGTCAAAGAAGTCATCGAGTTTCCTTCACGACGTCGTTTTATTGAAAACGACTGAGCCGTTCGATTATAATGCGTCAGTGATCAGATTACCGACACGTGTACAGAATTTCCTTAGAGTATTCGTATTGGTGAATTTTGGTGGGTATCATTAAATATAAAATTATTAAAATTTGAATAAAAGAAGAAAGAGAGTGTTTTTGGTTGAAATAATGGGGTGTATTGAAATATAAAATTAATAAATTTGAGTAAAGAGAAGAGATAGTGGGTATTTTTGGAGAGAGAGTATCAAAAGTATCAAATAGTTGATACTTTTGAAGAGAGAAAGAGTGTGTTTTTAATTATTTTATATTTAAAGAGAGTATAAAATTAATAAAAATTGAGTAAAATGATGAAAGAGAAAGTATAAAGTTAAGTAAAAGGAAGAGAGAGTGTGTTTTTAATAATTTTATATTTAATGATACGGATGCTCTTAGCCATTGTCGATTACTTTAATTAAAGGTATGTAAGTAAAAAGAATCCACAACCATTGGTTGCCTCCACGTTCAAGGCACTAACGGTAACGTCCGTTTTCTATTTTTTTTTTTCCTTCTTCTTCTCCTCCAATTGATTTAACGCCGTTAACGTCTCATACATAAACCTATTCTTCTCACCTCTTTAGCTTCCTTCATTTTCTCTTTACCTTTCTCTTCACGTCGGATCGAAAATCGGAGACGAAAATGTCGGAAGAATTGGAGAAATCTGTGTCGCCGAAGAAAGATTCTCTGATCGAGAAGATCGTTGAGAAGATTCACGATCATGATTCTTCGTCGTCGTCGGATTCCGAGCACGAGAAACGGGAATCTCCGTCGGCTTTGAAAGCGAAGATTTATCGTTTGTTTGGTAGAGAGAAACCTGTTCATAAGGTTCTCGGTGGTGGATTGCGTATGTTTTCTTCTTAATCTCTGTTTTAATCGCGATTACCTTCTGTGTGTCAGATGCTTGATCTGGAATACGAGAATCTGATTATCGGATTCAAAATGTGATTTGGGAATTACATGTTTTATGTGATTTCTTATGATTCGTTATTGGAATGTGGGAATCGGAGTTGTTTATCGTGTGGAAGATGTTGGAATTGAGAGA